GTTCATTATGTGTAAAGTGCGTCTTGCGTTACCCTGGCTTTGACGTTTATGTATAAAGACAGCTTGATCATTATGTATCAGGTTAGTAGTATTTTTTCCATTCGTTTTGTCACAATGGATGTATAGATACAGTAAGCTACATAAAGTACAGAAATTGGCCTTAGGACCCACATTCTTTCTTATCCTTGGCCTTCTTCGGTATGAGAGATATAATTGCTTCTTTCCAGGTAGGTGGGATTTGTGTCTTTTCAAGTGCCCAATTGAATCAGAATCAGAATACTTTATTAATCCCGAAGGAAATTAGGGTTACAGCAGGCAGCACGCTAATGGCGCATGCGCACTTACAAAGGAACCTTCTGACCAACTTTACACAAACATCACATTGGGGAGACACGTCAGAAAGGTAGGCTGATAGGAAAAAAACAACAAAAATACATAACATGAGGTAAGAGGAGGAGAAAAAAACTCCACTCAGACTGAGCTCCTGGTGGGAGAACAGTTTGATAAAAGAAAAAACACCTCAGCACAAAAGCACAAGACTATCAATACACCATAGAAACACAAGACAAGCAACAGGGGCGGGTAAAGGGTGAGAGAGAGCCGGTGTAGACAGCGCATCCGGTCTCCGCATGAAGTAATGGAGCTTTTTACTTTAGTGCGAACAGCTCATATGAATTTCAAAGCAGTTCTACAGTCCAACACTGGTCTCTCAATCTCCCGTTGGAGAGCCGCGAGCTTCGCCATACTTGCGTTCTGTGATGTTGTCATTTCTTGTGCTCAAGGAGCCGATTCTGAGAACCCACGGCAGTGTGCCTCCCCGAGATGTCATCCAATTTGCGCCCAGAGATGTTATTCCGGGCTAGCCCTTCCGAGATGTATCCAGTCTGCAGTCAGAGATCTTATTCAAGTATTCACAGCAGCCGTAGCCTCTCCAAGATCTTATCCGTGCTGCACTCAATCAGCCCATTTTGAGAAACTCACGCCTCTCCCATCGTTCCAATCCCAGCGGGCAGCCTTGTGGGGGTTTGAACAGCCGGTTCCGCTTCCTTAATTCTTCGATAAGTCAGGGCCAAGCCAGCTCCGATCAGCCAGAACCCTGTTACCATGGTTCCAAATAGGTAGATATCTTCAGCACTCAGGCTCACCCAAGCCCAGACTTCTCGTTGAGAAAGGGGTGTCAATTGCATTCAGAGACCAGTTGATCAAATCCATAATTCCTCTTTTAGGTTTAGAAACAGACTGTGAGAGAGTGTTCCAGGGAAAAGTAAAAACACAAGACAAGACAAGGACATAAGAAGCAAAGCAGGGAAGATAAGGGCAGGAGAGGAGGAAAGTGCGACCGCCTTCGCTGAGAGCCAAACTTCTTTTGGCTCTCAGCGAAGGCGAAGATTGCATGTTTTTCTCAGTATAGGAATAAGATCCTCTTTGAATGCTTCATACAGGGAGTGCAGAATTATTAGGCAAATGAGTATTTTGTCCACATCATCCTCTTCATGCATGTTGTCTTACTCCAAGCTGTATAGGCTCGAAAGCCTACTACCAATTAAGCACATTAGGTGATGTGCATCTCTGTAATGAGAAGGGGTGTGGTCTAATGACATCAACACCCTATATCAGGTGTGCATAATTATTAGGCAACGTCCTTTCCTTTGGCAAAATGGGTCAAAAGAAGGACTCGACAGGCTCAGAAAAGTCAAAAATAGTGAGATATCTTGCAGAGGGATGCAGCAGTCTCAAAATTGCAAAGCTTCTGAAGCGTGATCATCGAACAATCAAGCGTTTCATTCAAAATAGTCAACAGGGTCGCAAGAAGCGTGTGGAAAAACCAAGGTGCAAAGTAACTGCCCATGAACTGAGAAAAGTCAAGCGTGCAGCTGCCAAGATGCCACTTGCCACCAGTTTGGCCATATTTCAGAGCTGCAACATCACTGGAGTGCCCAAAAGCACAAGGTGTGCAATACTCAGAGACATGGCCAAGGTAAGAAAGGCTGAAAGACGACCACCACTGAACAAGACACACAAGCTGAAACGTCAAGACTGGGCCAAGAAATATCTCAAGACTGGTTTTTCTAAGGTTTTATGGACTGATGAAATGAGAGTGAGTCTTGATGGGCCAGATGGATGGGCCCGTGGCTGGATTGGTAAAGGGCAGAGAGCTCCAGTCCCACTCAGACGCCAGCAAGGTGGAGGTGGAGTACTGGTTTGGGCTGGTATCATCAAAGATGAGCTTGTGGGGCCTTTTCGGGTTGAGGATGGAGTCAAGCTCAACTCCCAGTCCTACTGCCAGTTTCTGGAAGACACCTTCTTCAAGCAGTGGTACAGGAAGAAGTCTGCATCCTTCAAGAAAAACATGATTTCCATGCAGGACAATGCTCCATCACACGTGTGTACTCCACAGCGTGGCTGGCAAGAAAGGGTATAAAAGAAGAAGAACTAATGACATGGCCTCCTTGTTCACCTGATCTGAACCCCATTGAGAACCTGTGGTCCATCATCAAATGTGAGATTTACAAGGAGGGAAAACAGTACACCTCTCTGAACAGTGTCTGGGAGGCTGTGGTTGCTGCTGCACGCAATGTTGATGGTGAACAGATCAAAACACTGACAGAATCCATGGATGGCAGGCTTTTGAGTGTCCTTGCAAAGAAAGGTGGCTATATTGGTCGCTGATTTGTTTTTGTTTTGTTTTTGAATGTGGAGATGTTGTATTGGTTTCACTGGTAAAAATAAATAATTGAAATGGGTATATATTTGTTTTTTGTTAAGTTGCCTAATAATTATGCACAGTAATAGTCACCTGCACACACAGATATCCCCCTAAAATAGCTAAAACTAAAAACTAACTAAAAACTACTTCCAAAAACATTCAGCTTTGATATTAATGAGTTTTTTGGGTTCATTGAGAACATGGTTGTTGTTCAATAATAAAATTATTCCTCAAAAATACAATTTGCCTAATAATTCTGCACTCCCTGTAGAATTCAGATGTGAACTCATGACTTCCTGGCGATTTATTAGCTTTCAGGTTTCTCATGGCATTTTCTAACTCCTTTACCATTATTTCAGAGAGTTGTTTATTCTGGTCTTCACTCATTACAGGTAAATTGAGCATTTCAAGAACATTTTACACTATCGTTTGTTTAGTGGTGTTGCAAAATAAACTGTTTACGGCAATATTTTTTCATCATTGTTCCCCCTGTCCAAATCACGGACAAACAGGATCCCACAGTTGTTTATGTTTTGAACCCATTTTGCACAGAGAGGCATTTTTGAAAAATGTATTGATAACTATGTTGAAAACAACTACATGTAAGATAATTACACAGTGACGCTTCTGCCTTTCTACACGGAGGGACAGTAACTGCGTGTTTATGTGTGAGTGTGTAAAACCTGAAGATAGTCAGATTAACAGTATTTTGTCTCTATCTGCCATTGTAGAAAGTCATGAATGAAGTTTGAAAACAAAATATGTGTGTGTGGTTGGAGGATGTGTTTTTTTTTTGTTTGTTTGTTTGTTTGTTTTTTGTGAAGATTTGTGTTGTCAAACAAAGGGGGGCCTAGCAAAAAAAAAGTTTGGGAACCATTGCTTTAGACGGACAAATCATTAACTCTATTATCTTCATGTAAGAAGACAAAGGTACTGCCATGTGGAATATATATATGTTAGATAAAAGTGAAATCAGATCCATGGACACCCTTTTGATCCTCTACCTAATCGTAAAAGGTCATGGGTCACAACCAGCCAAGGTTTTGGTGAAGGTGTGATTACATAGAGTATCAATACAGCGTCCATGGGAACACTCCCATAGGGCTTAAAATCTGGGACTCTCCACCAGTTACTCTTAGAACTGAAGAAGCTTCTCGGATGAGAGGTGAAACGTCTTCAAGGAAACTTAAAGAAGTCCAGACGCTTTTCTTTGCAAGCTCCTTTGACTACGATGACCTGGATGATTGAGAGCCTTCACAGACATATTGTCCTCTTTCTTTTGATCTAGTGACTGTTTCTGTATTTAAATATTTTAGGGAATCATCTAAAATTCTAGTGGCAGTTGGCATCTTCAAAAGTGTTAATGGAGGGAGGTTCAGTTTGTTTGAGGACTGCATTTCACTCACTGCCTCTGTATCTCCGTCACTGCAGGACCAACATGGAGAGAGAAGTCAGTGCTCTCAAGAGGCCGACAAACTTCACAGAAATAAGGCGGAGGAAACATACAGCTGTGACGAGTGTGGGAAGGAGTTTATTGGGCAGTCTAACCTGAAATGTCATCAACTCATCCACACTGAAGAGAGACAATTTAGCTGTGACTTGTGTGGAAAATCTTTTACTAAGCCTGAACACTTAAAAACACACCAACTCATACACTGCAAAGTTAAAGCGCTCAGCTGCGATCAGTGCGGCAGAGTTTTCACTCAGTGTAGCAGCTCAACGATGTATCAAGTTACCCACCCTGGAATTAAGGTGGAGGACTGTGACATGTGTGGAAAAACTTTCAGCCAGTTAGGATACCAAAATATACAACTACCCACTCACACTCTACATGGTGATTACTACTGTGATCAATGCGGCAAAAAGTACGCAACAGACACAGAATTGCACCACCACCTGTTTACACACACTATGGAGAGACCTTATAAATGTGACCTGTGTAATAAGGCTTTTACAACTCTACGGTTCCTGAAAAAACACCAACAGATCCACACCAGAAAGAAACTCTACAAGTGCAGTTACTGTGAGGTATGTATTTTCCTCGTTTATTTATTTTGACCTTAATTGACAGGACAGAAAGAAAACAAGGAAATGACGAACAGGAAACTGTTTTGAAAAATTCTAGAAAATAAACTGTTTGCCTGTTAGGGATTATACTGCATATAACGGCAGTGCTGGGCAGTTCATCAATTCTAATGTGCTATTTATTAATTCTTGCAAAAATGTTGAAGGAATTCCCCGACTTACACTGTGTTTGTGTCTTTGTTTAGAAGCAGAGCGACACAGATGGATCCAGTTCTCGACCCTGTCATCGCTGTGGTGGTGGGAAAGCGTTTCGTTGTGACCTTTGTGGAAAAACTTTCAATCAGCAGCGGTGCCTAAAATTACATCAGCGTAGACACACTGGAGATAAAATGAGCTACTGCAAAGAATGTGGGAAAGGCTTCCCCACACCGAGTGAATTAAAAATACATGAACTCTGTCACAGTGGGGTTAAAAAGCACCTCTGTGACCAGTGTGGGTCATCCTTCACCACTGCATGTGACCTTAGAAAGCATAAACGAGTCCACACAGGAGAGAAACCATACAAGTGCAGACACTGTGACAGAAGCTTCTCACAATCAAGTAATCGTAACCTTCATGAACGTACACACGTTAAAGGGAGCTACAGCTGTGACCAGTGTGACAAAAGCTTCATGAATCTCAATTCATACTCCAAACACAAACGATCCCACGCTGTAAATAAACTGTTTCACTGTTACCAATGTGCAAAAACATTCACTTCATTATCTGCTCTGTGCAAACATCAGCGTGATCATGCAGGACTGTGATCACTGGATCACAATGGATCTGAAGAGACAGAAAGATCCTCTTCTGGTTTCAGGGTCAGACTTAAAAACCTTGAGATCAGGCTCCACAGAGTTCAGCTGGAATCTCCTGTAGAGAGTGCAGCTGATGTCACACTTGGATCTGATGAGGTAGCTCTGATTTCTGGACCTGCAGTGAATAATCCTGGATGTTATTTAGGAAGTTGCAAGTATAGATGTGCACATCAAGTTTTTTTTCCCTTTGAGGGATTTTAATATTCTAAAATGTTATCCCTGTTACATTTTAATCTTTGTTCTCTTAGGATATAAAAGTTATAGGAATACATTTTATTTTATATTACCAAACTGACATGTTTCTAAACTGCAGATGTGCATAGAAACATTATTTTTTTTACATTTCATTTTAACTTCTTGCTTTTTTCCCCAAATCTAACTTTTTTTCTGAGGCAACAACAACCGCTGTGACTTTGTGTCCAGAAAAAAGAAACTCAAGATAAACTGGTGCTGGGCTGTACTTCCATGTAATACCAGTTTGTACCAGAAGGTGGAGCAGTGAGTCAGTGTAACCATTATTTAATCAGTCAAAGAACACATTCTTATAGAGATTGAAAATGTGACGTCACTCAGGGGTAAAACCGCAAAGAATTCTGGGAACTCGTGGCAAGTGGTACTAGCGCATGCAGGCTTTCAATTGAAATCAGTCACACAGCGATAAAAAGAAACACAAAAATGTCAAGAAGCTGTTGTATTATTAACTGCAATAGCCGGTCGCATGACAGCCACGGGAAGCCGACGGGTAAAGAGATCGGTTGTTATCGGATTACGTCGTTGAAGAGAAATTGTTCGAGCCATGTTTCCGAAGTAACAAAGAGGCGACTGGATTGCAGCCATTCAAAGACCAATTATAACGTCCCAGAACACTCCAGCTCACAGGTTAGTCTGCTCCAAGCATTTACACAAAGGTCAGTCTGCTGTTGTAGTTAATGTGTCATTTTTCATAACATAATTGGTGATATAGGTTACAAGCAAGTCTGGCGCTGAACAGAAATTGTCGCGCTATGCTCCTTTATTTATTGTGCATAAATAGTGAATTGTCCTGACACAATATTGTGTTTCGCTTCTGTACATTGACAAAAACATTTACTTTTATACACAGGATAAAACAGTTGTTTTGTATCACTAATTGCCCAGTACGATTACAGCATACAATATTATTGTCACTGCTACATTTCTGTGATGAACCAGAAATTATTTCCACTACTAATTAATTACCATTGAGCTCAAAGGTCCTATTAATAAACGGTTAACGAATGTGTATTTATGAAGAAGATTTGTGAGACTGGTAAACTTACCTTTGTTCGTACGATGGTCTTTACTTTCTACACGGTGCATTTCAAGGTCCTGCACCCATCCGTCGGTAAACTGTACCTGGGCTTGTTGCAGTGACCTGAAGTTACTAAACTTCATGAGTGTGTGCACTCACTCCAAGAACCGTATGATTATAAATATGAGCGTGGTGAAAGTTGGGCAGCACGCTAACGTATTTTGTCCCTCTGTGTGCTCGTAAGGGTCTGACACTTTCACTGGTTTGATTTTTTCCTCGTATCTTATCTTTGACTTTTCATGAAGTCTGTCTTTGTACAGACCGGCATTGTTCTCCTTCGTTTTGTACATACCTTTTTGGGGGGCAAAGAAAAAGCAAGAATTTATTGGAACCGGAGAATGAACGTTTTGCGGTGCTGCAAATGCTTGCATTTGATGCGGTACTTGGATTGTTTTGCCACGAGTTACCGGCATGCAATGCGCGAAAGTCATGTGGTCTGTCGATCTCTATAGGGCTTTGGAGTTGACGTAATGCCGCAATGCATTGTGGGAGCACGGCGCCATTTGAGAAGGCCACGAATCAAAACAAACACACTGTGTTGGAAGGACGACTGCCAGAACCATGCTTAAAATCAGCTCAAAAGTCAAATGACTGTATCGAGAGCGATTGAGCCCGGCGCCAAGAGACTGTACTTGGAAACAATAGCATGCATCGGTTGTGGACCCGTATAAAATACGGCAGTGGAGTAGAAACCCTGGAGACCTTCCACCATTGTCCTACCCTAATACCTTGTCGTACCTTGTCTGTGGAGTCAGCGCATCATTTTTGGAATTATAAATCCCTGGAGGTGCACATCTAATTCACAGACGGTTGGGTACAAGATTTGGCCATTTTTAAGCCTCCACGTTGTGAGTAGGTTGACTATATGACCAAGATACAGCCAGAGGTCACACATAACATTGACTTCTCCTCAGCAGCTGCCCCAAAAATTGCTCTAGATGAGAACATAAACACACCGCCTGCACTGAAAGGCAAAAGGAGCCGTCCGCAAAAAAGGCAAATTCCACCTGCTAGTCTGGAGGAGTTGTCACCGATAAGCTACTCCACAAACAGAACATAATTCTGCTGGATCACACATTAGGATGTTTGAGCCTATAAAGAGCAATATGAACATACTGAAATGAAAATGTCGGGAGCACATCAACAAAAAATAATGGCAGAAAACTCAATATCAGCTCGTCTCACCGCTGCTATCAAAGCCTGACGTCTTCGTTTGGTAACATACATGAGATCCCTCACGTTGCTTCCAGCAGGGGAAACGATAAAAAGATTATTCCTTATTCCCTTCCCAATCGTGCAATATAACATTGCAACCGACAACACAGCAAGTGCGAGCCATAGCTGATGTTTCCATGTGCTGTTGCTCCTGTAGCCCTTTGTTTGGCCTACTAACATGGCGGCTCAACCCAAAATCGTGGCCACGCCCCCTCCCGTGACGTCAACTCCAAAGCCCTATTCACAGTTGCAGCAAAGAATTGTTAAAAGTAAAAAACAGCAGCACACATCAGGACCATTTTAAAAGATTACAGATTACTTCTTTTTTTTTGTTAAAGTTAATTCAAATTCTATTTAACTTCTACTTTTGGCTCCTCCTTTCATTTGAGTGTATTTACTGTATCCCTGAAGTCCAAACGTTGTTTTATGATCCACATGTTCAGGAGCTGTAAATTTCTGCTTGTTGATTTTAAGTTTGTATTGTCAAAGCATTAGTTAAATTTGATTAATTCTGTGTAAAGTTCTTGTTATTAAACAGTTCGGTGTGAAAATAAACAACTGGTCTCACAACAAATAGCTGGAGTCATGATTTTAGATTCAAACTAATTTAACTGTTTTCAGTGGCACAGGTGGAGGTTTATTCAGGGGAGGAGATTTGGCTGTTCTCCACTCCACTCCACTCCACAATGCTAAAAGGATGAGGTTTCCTTCAAACGTGCAATTAAAATGTGTTCAAACAAACTACTGTAATGAATGTGGGAGAGGCTTAGGTTGATTTAATAATCATTAAATGAGAAGTCTGGAGAGCAGAAAATCCTGGTGGGATGGGAGTCTCAGCTGTACTAATATTGCCACACTAACATGCTTAAACTACAGTAGCTGCTTTTGGCTGTTCCCTTGTTCCACAGATTTCTTTGGGTAGCTTTTATTTTTAATGCCGGATGCTCTCCCTGAAGCACATCCAAAGGCATTTGTCTCTTTCCTCAGTGGAAACAGTGATCTTCTGATGTGTGAACTATTATGGCATTGGAACCACCAGAAATACACTCACGGAAAAATGTATCACCATTCAAAGTGTGTTAGCCTGCTGACCTCCAAAAGTTGATTCTGTTCATCTGGATGTGTTCAGTGGGAGAAACGTTTCGTCATTCATCCAGGTGACTTCTTCAGTCTCAGCTGACTGCAGGTTTCCCCAAATCTTATAAACAGTACATTTGCATAATGACTGAAACCAATCATTATGCATAGTCATTATAAGATTGGGAAAACCTGCAGTCAGCTGAGACTGAAGAAGTCACCTGGATGAATGACGAAACGTTTCTCCCACTGAACACATCCAGATGAACAGAATCAACCTTTGGAGATTTACTTTCCTGGATGATTGGGAATGCATCAAGACGTTAGCCTGCTGACATTAATATGTGTCAAAGCACTACGTATGGAAGCAATTTTCACACGGTATTCCTTAGATTATCTCAGAGGTTACATTCTGGGACCCCTGTGATTGGTGAAAATCTGCATAGTAGAAACCAGATCTTTATTTTATTATTATTATTATTTATAGATAGTAAGCCATGAAAACCCTCCCCACTTTCTTACACACCCGATTATAACCCTGTTAAATTTTTTGGCAAGGGAAATTTTCTTTTTTCTGCAAAAATAATGGAAAAATTAATGCCTTTAGGCCACAGAAATCTACATTATTAAATTCCTTTAAATTACATTATTGTATTTGCTCATTTAGTTATGCAGTAGTTTATTTTGTCTTTTTATTTGTCCTTTCTGTTTTATTGAAACCACTTTATAGAAAGTTACATCGGTTACAATGAACTGTACATACAACCAGTAGCGGTTTTTGATACGGGCGACATGGGCGGTTGCCCGGGGCGGCATCACGGGCATCGGCAAACAAAAAAAAAGGCACGATCGGTTTGCTGAGAGGAAGGGCGCCCTCCCTTTGCGAGGTGCGCCTGCTGCTTGCGGCACAGGGGGGAGAGGGCAGGGCGACGACGATTCTCTGGCTGGCTGGAGCGGCATCTAATAACCAACTTGCAAAATAAAACAAAATAAAAACAAACCAACAGACACAAAAACACCAGGCATCATGATACAAACTTATAATTTGCACCGATGGGTTTTCAAAGTTCTATAAAGTGAGCGCGAGAGCCCTCGGTCATCTCTGCTACATACAGTCCAGTATATACGGGACGACGAGGTTTCAGTTACAGCAGTGCCGGAAAACAAACAATAAATATAAGAAGAGTAAGAAAGCAAATATACACTTTATTACCAGGGGTAAAGGGATCAAAAACAATTTGTAATTTACAGTTTGATTCTTAAAGTCTCACACACAACACATCGAAAGGGGAGGGGGCCCGGCTGCTTCCAAGTAGAGCACATTTCATTTATAATGTTGTAAATCCAAGCCCATTATGGATTCATGATTTGAATCCTGGGTTGTGCGAAATCCCAGAAATAAACCTTAGACAAAGGGAGTGTTCGCCCAGGGCACCAAACAGGCTAGGACGGCCACTGCATACAACACAGCAGTTTTAAGAATATTTAACAAGAGCAAGTTTCATTTCGCCCTGGTTTCACAGCCACACTTGGGCACATATTTACCAAAATGCAGCAAACCTTAACTTATCCAGCATCGTTACACGTTCACCCTCACGTGGAAGAAGTAATCTGATTGGCATTGTGGTATGTAGTATTTTGAGGAAGTAATCGGTAAATGATAAACTACTGATTACTTGCTTGACTTGAATTCTCAGGTGGGCAATAGCTCTCGTTTCTTCAACGTCCCTGGCATCAAGTTGACAGAAGCCTTTTTTAAATGCAGGGATCTTAACGCAGCTCTTCGTCTGTCACTTCTTCACGGGGCCCTCCTTCAGACTCTGCAGCTCCATTACGAAAGCCTGTAAGATACAATATGTGCATACACATAAAGCGTGTTCACTTGTCCTGTACGTCTCAGCTTTTGCTCTTCTCTTCTCTCTGGTCTCTCGCTTCACTAAAGGGGAAAGAGGTTGTCATTAGTTCAAATGCCACCAGCTCTGTCCTCACCTGCCTTCCCGGCACCGCCCCCACCCATCACTGCACCACTCCTCCCCTGCAGCTGAGTCAGGGACCACACCTCCGTCACAGCCTTCAAGCGCACATTCACATGACTCTCTGCTATTCAAAACACAGTTTGTTTGATGTAATATTCAACACTGAACTGTAAATTTAGTCTTTTTCAAGGAAGCAATTTTATTCTTTTATTTTCAAAAAAGCCATATTTTTATACATCTACTGCAACACACATGAGCTTTAAGACCTGGACAAGTTTGAAACCTTTTGTCCTCCACAGTGGAAAATGGCTGAAAGTTCCAACTCCTACTTTGATAAATTTTTCACTCAGCTTTGACGTCTCCAATATCACTGAGATGCAGTCAGATGCACATTTTATGTTTTCGCTTGTTTCTTCACTTTTCCCCGTCTCTCTGTGTTCTGGCCTGTAACATTACAGAACATCTGCCCCGCTTCCTTCAGTCACATGATGGTATGATCCCAGCCCTGCTGAGAATTCATGCCTCCAATAAAATAATTAATGTAACACTTCAGTGGGACGAATGTGTTATTTTTAATGTCTGCATTTAGTTTATAAATAATCAATCTGCTCAAGTAACAACAATGATGACGACCAACACTTTGAAATGAAACTTTACTCTCAGCACTAAATGAGCGACCTGGATGTTCTGTGCCTTTCAGAAAGGACTCTGTCAGTGACCTCTGACCTCTGTGCGGGGGTGTGTCTGAAGGATTTCCCTCCTCACTGACTTTCTTTTGCTGCTCTTCTTTGTGTCTTTATAAACTGGTGGTGTTGCCACAGCAGAAACTTTTCTTCACACACACAGCTGTGAAATATCTCCACATGCTGCTCCTCTTTCTCACTCTCTGCAGCCAAAATGTATTTTCTTCAGGGCAGCCGAGTCACGTGATCGCACCGGACGAATCAAAGCAGATCAGGAAGAAGGGGGCGGAGCAAAGTGTGTGCGCAGGAGAGGAGTCGAGCAGAGAGAGCTGCTTTGTCATGAAACGGGAGTAAAGTAGTGAACTTAGAGGAGAGAAACGAACTAAAGTATCGATCATAAACCACTACCAACGTCCTGATCGATATCTGCATCGATCTGCCCACCCTTGTCTCCTGGATCGTAGCTGAGATCAGCGTGAACCACGTGGGTCTCTGCTCCCTGATCTGTTTCCTGTGTTTGGAAAGAGTTGCAGCTTCATCGCGGAGTTTCTCTCGGTTTGTGGGCTCATCTAAAGGTAAGCACCGAGCTAACTTTACTGTGAGTTCAGTTCATGTTGAGTTTAGCTCCTGAATGAGGTCTTCTGCTGCTCTCCTCGGTGTCTGTTCACAGTTTATTGTGAACACGTTGAGAGAAGAGTGAGAGAGTGTTTGGAGAAAAACACCAACTAATCATTAGCTCAGCATGCTGGGAGAAGTTGGAGCAGAAAAGTCTTTTCATTGTCCCTGCAGCTGTTTTTCTGCCTGCACCAAACCTCTACAGCCTCGTTTCTATTTAAGTGATAACAGGAAGTCAGAGCGATCTGCTGCAGTATCAGGGTCACTATAACTTTATTGTCCAGCTACTGTGGATGAACACATGAGAGGCAGTGAGCGATAAAATAAAATAAGAAAAGTTATAAATTGACATGGGTGAGAGTTGTTTATACAGACATTGTGGAAGGCAGCATGCAGGAATGAGGGAGTAAGTAGGGCGAATATCAACAGCCTTTACAGACAGTTGCATCAGTCCACTGCTTCAGTGTCTTCACCAGAGATGGGCAGTTACAAGTAATGTGTTACTGTAATCCGATAACTTTTTTTCAAGTTATTTTAAATGTTAAACAAATTTCTTCCAGTCAGTGAATGTTGCATATAATTAAATTTTGCTCGATGCATAAAGTTAAAAGATTAAAATTAATAAAACAAATTTTAAAAAGAGACTTTTCCACTTGATGACATTATATATGATGGACTCGCTGTCGCTTTATCACCTATTCAGGGTGTAAATCATGTTTTTAAAAAGTAACTAAATAACTAATTACTGACAAAAAATAAGTAATCAGTAAAGTAACGGGATTACTTTTGGTGGGAAGTAATCATTAATTAGTTACTGATTACTTTTTTCAAGTAATTTGACCAACACTGGTTTTCACAAAAGAGAGTTTTAGTTTGTGCCTGCTTGCAGGGATCAAGTCTGACATTTAGTCTGAGTAGATTTGAACTTTCCTTCTTCATTGTTTCCATCTTGCTTTGACTGCAGCTGTAACAACACTGATTCCAGCAGGATTTGTAAAAAGCATTTTGACAGACACACAAAGCTGGACAGCTTTTGTTCTGAGGGTTTGGAGAGAGCCTGTCTGTGTGTCTGCATTCACTTTGTTCCTCTAACAGAAAATCAATGTGCAGATGTTGATTCCTGCAGTGACTGTTGTTCCTCAGCCTGTAGAAACCATCCTGCAGCTGCTGGAACAAATGAATCTTCTAAATGTTGCTTTCTCTGGTTTGTGTTTGCTCTGCTTCTTTTTGTCAGAGATCAAATACATAAAAATATTCTTTTGTGTCCCAGCTGATCAGCAGGAGGAGAATCTGACGGAGGAACATTTTCAGCCATTTGGACTCAGCTCAGCCACTACAGAGGAAACAATGAGCTCAACACAGATGGTGAGAAAAACATCTGTTACACTGTTATTGAAACTGTGCACAGCTGGTTGTTAACAGCAGCTTTATCTTTTCCATCCTGGGCTCCTCCACACATACAGAAGCTACATTCACAAATAAAAACCACAGGAGTTACAAGAAAGCACAAAGATCATATTTTATCAGGACACTGAAATAAAATATAATCAGCTGCACTTATAATTTTTTCAGATGGTATATTTTTTTCCCAATGAGCAAAACAATTTCCTCATTGTCATTTTGATTACAGACGCAGTTTCAGTTTGTTCCACGACTGCATTTCACTCACTGCCTCTGTTTGTATCTCTGTCACTGCAGGACCAACATGGAGCGAGACGTCAGCGCTCTCAGGAGGCCGACAAACCTCACAGAAGAAAGGGAGAGAAGAAATACAGCTGTGATGAGTGTGGGAAGAATTTTACTCTGAAGTCTGAGCTAAAACATCATCTGTTCATCCACACTGGGGAGAAACCATTCATCTGTGACTTGTGTGGAAAGTCTTTTAGACAGCCTGCAAACTTAAAAAAACACCAAGTCACCCACACTGGAGTTAAAGCGTACAGCTGTGATCAGTGTGGCAAAGCTTTTACTGTCAGAGGCAACTTACGGCGTCATCAAGTTACCCACTCTGAAACTAAGGCGTACAGCTGCGACATTTGTGGGAAAACTTTCACTCATCTAACATACCGAAATACTCACCTACGCATCCACACCAGGCAAGATGTTTACTGCTGCGATCAGTGTTTGAAACCGTTTGTGACATACTATGAATTACAGCAGCACATGTTTACCCACACTGAGGAGAGACCTTATAAATGTGACCTGTGTGAGAAGGCTTTTAAAGAGCCAAATTCCCTGAGAAGACACGAACAGATCCACAGCAGAAAGAAACTCTACAAGTGCAGTTACTGTGAGGTTTGTATTTATATTTCTATCTTGTCATTTTCAGCTGACTGTTCGGAACAACTCTGCTCATTCAGTTGTTAGTATGTTGGCAATTCTCCTGCATGTGAAGGCAGCGCTGCGTGAGTTTCAGCTCTTATTTCATTGCTCAGCTTAGTTCTCCACACTCTGGACTCTCTGCTCGGTTCAGCTGGTTTTCCTGCTGCTCTGTAAAGTCAGCAACTCGCCCAGTCCTCCATGTGTGATGTCTTGTGAACCTTAATGTTCCATCCATGACCTGTTCAACCTGCAGTAATTACTCATTAACATCTAACTTCAGTCTGCTACCTGCTATGGTAAAGACAACAGATGGCAGATGCCACCAGTATACCCTCCTCACTGGTCGCTTTGCCCGCTTCAGCATCATCACAGTCAGTTTTATTTATGACACCATTAGGGTGCAGGAAGCTGCTACAGTTTTGTCCTGAGCAATAGGTATCACCACTCAGACAACACCACATGGAGGTATAGAAAGAGAAGTAGTCAAAAGTAGAAGCAGATTTCTTTCTTTTTTTTTTCTCCACAGAGTCTCAGGTTTGTGTTGCAACATCTCCTTTGGATGATGCTTTGGATAAAAATGTTGAAGCAATTCCCTGACTTACACTGTCGTCGTGTCTTTGTTTAGAAGCAGAGCGACACAGATGGATCCAGTTCTCGACCCTGTCGCCACTGTGGTGGTGGGAAAGCGTTGCGTTGTGACCTTTGTGGAAAAACTTTCAATAATGAAAAGAACCTAAAGCTACATCAACGTAGACACACTGGAGACAAAATGAACTACTGCAAAGAATGTGGGAGAGGCTTCCCCACACCAAGTGCATTAAAAGAACATGAAATCTATCACAGTGGGGTAAAAAAGCACGTCTGTGACCAGTGTGGGTCATCCTTCACCACTGCAGATCATCTTAAAGTGCATAAACGAGTCCACACAGGAGAGAAACCATACAAGTGCAGACACTGTGACAAAAGTTTCTCGTACTCAGGGAGTCGTAACAATCATGAACTTACACACATTGAAGGGAGCTACAGCTGTGACCAGTGTGACAAAAGCTTCAAGAATCTCAGTTCATACTCCAGACACAAACGATCCCACGCTGTAAATAAACTGTTTCACTGTTACCAATGTGCAAAAACATTCACTTCATTATCTGCTCTACGCAACCATCGACGTGATCATGCAGGACAGTGATCACTGGATCACAATGAATCTGCAGAGGCAGAAAGATCCTCTTCTGGTTTCAGGGTCAGACTTAAAAACCTTGAGATCAGGCTCCACAGAGTTCAGGTGGAGTCTCCTGTAAAGAGTGCAGCTGATGTCACACTTGGATCTGATGAGCTAGCTCTGCTTTCTGGACCTGCAGTGAATAATCCTGGATGTTACATATAGGAAGCTGCAAGTATAGATGTGTACATCAAGTTTTTTTTCCTTTGAGGGATTTTAATATTCTAAAATGTTATCCCTGTTACATTTTAATCTTTGTTCTCTTAGGATATAAAAGTTATAGGAATACATTTTATTTTATATTACCAAACTGACATGTTTCTAAACTGCAGATGTGCATAGAAACATTATTTTTTACATTTCATTTTAACTGCGTTTTTTTTTTGCTTTTTCCCCCCAAATCTACTGTTTCACTGTTACCAATGTGCAATTATGTTCATTATCTGCTCTGTGCAAACATCATCATGACAATGGCTGAACTCATTCCTATCATTGGATCATAATGAACCCTTCAACTGACGGGGAGCTTGTGCCATCCTTGCAGGAGTCCACTCTGCAGGTGGGGGAGAGGTGAGAATAAACTTAACCTGGGTGTCTACTGTCTTGTGCAGTCTTGGAGATGATTGAATGTTAGGGTGGGGGAGCTGGCCCCAGGGAGGGGCATCTTGCTCCTCCCTTCTTTTCCTCCCCATCCCCGGCTGCCTCCCTCTTCCCGCTCCCAACACACCCACACAAGTAGGGCTTTGGGGTGCGGGTGTGTCACCAGGGGACAGGGGAGGCATCCCCCCCACCCCCTGTCCCCTTCTGGCCACCTGTGCCTCAATTTTATCTCACAGCTTAGACATCCACATTACTCACACTCTCATAACACATACATATAGGGCCTTGAGGGTGGGCACGTTAACGGCGTCCAGTGGACGGTCTGTGTGTTCAACCCCACCTCTGGCGCCGGTGCCCACCTCTCAATTTTAAATCCATGTAGACATTGAGGGTTCTCGGGAGAGGCCGTGCTAACACCTGCTGCTCTCTGGCAGCAGCACCATGCTCTCCCGTTTTTTTAAATGCACCTTAGAACAACACGCAGCAACACTACACATGAGTGAGAGGAGGGACGTTTGGGGTCTTCACACACCCCTGTTCTCTGCTGGCCATCGGGGCGGGGGGCTGGGAGGAGGTGTTGGCCGTCTGATTGGGATCTGGGATGCGGGGCCCCCCTGCTGCTGTGGAGCCTGGGGCGGTCTGCTTGCCTCCACCCCGGGGGAAAGGGTAACATCTCCTGGGTCTGGGTACCGTTTCCCCCTCCAGGGGCAAGGGAACCTGGACCCGGGGTATAGAGTTTGTTTGGGGAATGTGATTGTGTGTTCAGTGTCCATGTATGTCTATCCCTACTTTGGGTGAGTGCTGAGTATATGTGTGCATGAGGGTGGGAATGCATGTGTGTGCCTGTTTGTCTGTGTCTATATGTCAGGTCGGGTCTTAGACTCCACCTCTCTGGGAACTCCCAGGCCCTCCAAGGCCCATCTCCCCTCACCACACTCCCTGCCGGTGACTGATGCCTTCAGGTGATCCAGGAGATTTTTTTTCTCTTCTTTCTCTTTTTAAGTTTCCTTTCTCACTGCCCCTCTTCCCTTCTGTTTTTCTTTTCCTTCATCTTTCTTTCTCCCTTTCCTATCCCTCAGCCATGTCTGTAACAACTGAAAATAAAATAAATAATAACAACAAAGGTTGATCAAATGGACCAATACGGCAAGGCCATGATGATCCATTTGGCAAAGTAAATCCATCGGGTATCCTTGTTGGTCTTCAGACAACAATTCTGACGGCTAAAGAACCAAATGGGACAGGCAAAAAAATAAATAATCTGAAGAGACAGACAGTTCTGTTGCATTTGAGAAGTTTGATGTGAAAGCTGCTGTAATTTCTGCTGAAATCCCTCATCTGTTATACTTCAGGTTTCTCTTAATTTTTCCTTTAATGTTTATTTGAATTTTAATTCTAAAAATGTTATCCTTATTACATGATCATTGTTCCTCCACTTGGAAACAGTAGTATTTAGTAGTAGTAATAATAATAGTACTATAATCAAAGAAATGTCTCACTGATCTCTTAATTGTCTATGTATCACAGGCATTCAAGCTGTAAATAGTTATATCATTACTTAAAAAGTCATCCCAGGACTCAGCTTGAAAACGAAAAACTCCCTGAAAGCCTTCAGCTGATCCAAAATGCTGCAGCAAGAGTCCTGACAGGGACTAGAAAGAGAGAGCAGATTTCTCCTGTTTTGGCTTCCTGTTAAATCCAGAATTGAATTCAAAATCCTGCTCCTCACACACAAGGTCTTAAATAATCAGGCCCCATCTTATCTTAATGACCTTGTAGTACCATATCACCCTATTAGAGCACTTCGCTCTCGCTCTGCAGGCCTACTTGTTGCTCACAGAGTATTTAAAAGTAGAATGGGAGGCAGAGCCTTCAGTTTTCTATTTTAATTGTGGTACAATCCAAAGATACCTTCTGTTACTGTGGTCCTGTCACCTGCTGACTTGAGATCAGTTACATCTTTGCATACATTAAAAACAGACTCCAGACCTTTTTCCATTGGTGGTGTTGTTAGGTTTAGTTTAGTTCTGTTTGCTGTTTTCACTGCCTTAAGCTGTTGTAAACCTAAACAGGTTTTTATGTCTATCTTCTGTGTTAAGAATATTTAGTTAACATGTAATAAAATGTGTGATATAAATAAAATTGCCATTTTCAGAAGCGTCTTAATTCTTCATGACAGAGATTTAACCAGTTACAGAATCATTCCTCATAACTAGGGATGTAAGAAAAATATCGCTCGAAAATCACAATATTTTGTTTTATGATACCGAGTCGATATTCAAAAGCAGTGTTATTGATTTTTTTTATTGACAATTTACATGTGTGATGGCAAGGCACACATGGTAAGCTCCACACCTCACCACCAGTTGATTCACTTTAGTTTACATTGCAGTCATTAATATATTATTGTTCAATATTGTTTCTTTATTAAATGAATTTATTTTTCCATCACACCTTCAAATGTTTATGTGGCGTGCATATAAATATTAACCCATATTAACACTGCAAGGTCAAAGTTCTGTTATATTCATACATTTTCTTTGTTTGAGTTAGCTGGTGTTTGGCTTCTGTCTGGCAAAGGGCTGAGAGACTAAAGAAAGGCATCTCAAACATTATCAGTGAAACACAATCAGGTTTTTTGAAAGGAAGACTAATTCATAACAATATTAGGCTGGTTTTGGATCTCCTTGAATACAGTGAATTAATCCAAGAGAGAGGGTACATCCTGTTCTTGGATTTTTACAAAGCATTTGACTCAGTTGGACATACGTTCATATTTAAAACTCTGCAGTCTTTTGGTTTTGGACAGGAATTTATTATTATTAATTCTAGGCATTCCAGTATCCAGCTGTGGGGCATTGAGTCATAGGCCTTCTTGTAATCAATCCAGGCAGTGCACAGGTTGGTCAGTCTGGTCTTGCAGTCTCGGCTGACTGTTCTGTCTACCAGTAGCTGGTGTTTCATTCCTCTGGTATTCTTGCCAATTCCTTTCTGTGTCCCACTCATGTATTGACCCATGTGCCTGTTCATCTTAGCCGATATGATGCCTGACAGGAGCTTCCATGTGGTACTGAGGCAGGTTATTGGTCGGTAGTTGGATGTCCCTTCTTGGGGTCCTTGGGGATCAGGACCGTCCGGCCTTCGGTTAGCCATTCCGGGTGTCTCTCGTTAACTAGCAGCTGGTTCATTTGTGCTGCCAGACGCTCGTGGAGTGCAGTTAGCTTCTTCAGCCAGTAGGCGTGAACCATGTCGGGCCCTGGTGCTGTCCAACTCTTCATACTGGAGACCCTTTCTTGGATATCTGCCACTGTGATGGTTACTGGACCCTGTTCAGGGAGGTCGCTGTGGTCTGCCCTCAGATCCACTAGCCACTGAGCATTGCCGTTATGGGTTGCATCCTTCACCCATATGCTCTTCCAGTATTGCTCCGTCTCCAGCCTTGGTGGTGCTGTTCTCTTATTGTTCCCTTGCCACTGAGAGTACACCTTTGCTGGTTCTGTGGAGAACAGCTGGTTTATTCTCCTGCCTTCTATCTCTCTGGTGTACCTCCTCAAGCGGCTGGCCAAGGCTGTGAGTCTTTGCTTGGCAGTTTTCAAGGCCTCAGGTATGGACAGCTTGCTGTATTTCTTATGCACCTTCTTTGCCGCACCTTTCTGCAACTCCGTTAGTTGGCTAACCTCCCTCCGTGCTACTTTGATCTTGCCCTCTAGCCTCCTTCTCCTCCTCTGATAAACCTCCACCTGTACCAACAGTTGATCTGAACATGAAATCATGGCCCAAACTACTTGTTGTCAGACCAATATCTTTATTTTTCACATCAAACTGTTTTATAAAAGAAACTTTACACGGAGTTAATCAAATATAACTAATGCTTTAACAGTATCACTGTTTCACAATACAAACCCAACAAGAAAACAGCTGCAAAACACGCAGCTCAAAATGCATTCACTAAACTACACGTGGATTTAAAGAATACAGTAAATACACTAAAGTGAAAGGAGGACCCAAAAGCAGAGGTTTGATAGAATTTGAATTAAGTAAAAGTAGTCTTTGTGATCGTTTCAATGGTCCTGATATGTGCTGCACATCAGCTAACCTTAACAATTCTTTGCTGCCACTGTGAATAAGAATGTGTTCTTTGCCTGATTAAATAAAGATTACACTCACTGCTCAATCTCCTGGTACAAACTGGTACTACATGGAAGTACAGCCCATTGCCAGTTTAGCTTGAGATTCTTTTTTGTGGACATTAAGTCAAAGCAGCTTTTGTTTCAAAGCTGGTTGACAATTAAAGTTTGTATTGGGTGCTGTAAGAGCAACTAGTGTGAAATTATTTGCGGTTTTGGGAGAAAGGGATTTAAGATTAAAGTTTAAAAAGATAACACATAAAATTACAATAAAACAAGGTGGGTTTTAAAAAAAGAGCATCAACATTTATCAAAGAAAAATTAAGTTGATCTATATATCCATAATTCCAACTTCTAAATTTAAGATGTTTAAAATGTTTAGTAGGTTTAATCAGCAATATGCAGACATCTGACAATAAAGAACGTGTGAAGGTGAGTGATTAAACAATGACTTAACTCAGGTATAAGTGCTTCTTCAGAGAAGTCTTTTCTTCAAGGAATAAGGCCTAGGAAGTAGGCTAACAGGTGGCAAGGCACTCAGGTAAGTGCTATTCAGATAAGAGTTAAACAAGAATCAACAACTCTCCTCTCTTATTTTCTATAGGACAAACATTTTCAACATTAAAGTTTCTTTTACAGAATGAAAATCTCTCAAAGAAAAAAGAAAACACTTGATGTGCACATCTATACTTGCAACTTCCTTAGTTTAACATCCAGGATTATTCACTGCAGGTCCAGAAATCAGAGCTACCTCATCAGATCCAAGTGTGACATCAGCTGACACACTTTTTTACAGGAGACTCCAGCTGAACTCTGTGGAGCCTGATCTCAAGGTTTTTAAGTCTGACCCTGAAACCAGAAGAGGATCTTTCTGTCTCGTCAGATTCATTGTGATCCAGTGATTTCAGTCATGCATGATCACGCTGATGTTTGCACAGAGCAGATAATGAAGTGAACGTTTTGGCACATTTGTAACAGTGAAACAGTTTATTTACAGCGTGGGATCGTTTGTGTGCGGAGTATGAACTGAGATTCTTGAAGCTCTTGTCACACTGGTCACAGCTGAAGTTCCCTTCAATGTGTGCATCTTCATGAACATTACGATGGCCTGAACTTGAGAAGCTTTTGTCACAGTGTCTGCACTTATATGGTTTCTCTCCTGTGTGGACTCTTTTATGGTCTTTAAGCTGATTTGCAGTGAAGAAAGATGAACCACACTGGTCACAGACGTGCTTTTTAACGCCACTGTGATAAAGATAATGTTTTTTTAATTCACTTGATGTGGGGAAGCCTCTCCCACACTCTTTGCAGTAATTCATGTTGTCTCCAGTGTGTCTACGTTGATGTAGTTTTAGGCTATCTGGATGATTGAAAGTTTTTCCACAAAGGTCACAATGAAACGCTTTCCCACCACCACAGCGACGACAGGGTTGAGAACTGGATCCATCTGTGTCGCTCTGCTTCTAAACAAAGACACAAACACAGTGTAAGTTATGATGATATTAAAACATCTATCGTTTCATATTGTATGCAAAACCAGCTGTTCACGGCAATATTTTTTAATCGATTTGATGGTCGCTCTAGAGGCTATATCAATCTCTTGAAGTTCTCTCTTGCCCTTTTATTTAACCTCCTAAGACACTCTTTCATGGCATACATTTTCAATTTCTCTTTGCTATTTGTGCTGATTGGGACCTAAAGAATGTAAAAACAAAGAATTACCTAATTATTTCTTTTATCTGACTTTTGTTTCTGAGAAAAATGACATCCACATAACAGGACATGTGATAGAAAAGTGGCAGTATAGTGTACTTTAAGTTGATATCAGGCTTTTGTAGAGCAAATGTTTTTTTAAATTTTGGTGTAAACAATCGAAATTGTGATGTCCAGGTTGTATGAGATTAAAATAACCACACTATGGATGGACAAATGAATGTTTTTATGCATACTTTCGTTAGGAAAACCACCGTTAGTGAAACCATTGTGCGACTCCGCCGTCAGCTTGTTTATTTTCCACATAAACCTGTCACGATAAAGTTCAAAATCCTGTTGTCTAAGGAGCTTGGAAAGAAAAGCGTCCGGACTTCTTTAGGTTGCTTGAAGACGTTTCACCTCTCATCCGAGAAGCTTCTTCAGTTCTAGTGTCAAATGGTGGAGAGTCCCAGATTTAAACCCCGTGGGAGTTTCCCCCCAAACAGAGATAAAAGGACCCCCTGATGATCTTCTACCTAATCATGAGTACAGTGTGAAAACGGGTGTGGGTCACAATCAGCTAGGATTTCGGGCGAGCTCATTGTGAAACCTAGCCCCACCCCATCATGTGATTTCCTGAGGTCAGATGGCCCAGGGTGTGAGTCAACGTTAAGGCATCTGGGAAGGGAACTCAAAACTGAACTAGAAAAAGTTGCATTTCCTGCGAAAATGCAGTGTGAATGCCGTGTAGTGGAATCTGAAAACACTGTGTAGAAGCTGGACTCTGCTGAAAACTGCTTTATTTGAAAGACTACACTGAAGAGTGTCAAGAAAGCAGATTACATGCAAGCAGGGAAGATGTGAAGCATCTGTCTCATGTAGTACTCGAACCCTTGCCAGAGCAGCTGTGCAGCCCACTGCGCCAAACCAGTTCTGGTCTCAAAACAAAGATATGATGATGATGATATGATATGATCTACTACGGTGGCAGTAGATGCTAATCTATGACGAAGGATACGGTGAAAGATAGTATCAAAAGCTGCTATAAGGTCAAGGAGAATGCGGGTGGTGATGAATACAATATTTGAATTTTTAAAAAAGCCCTCCACATTTTATGGAAATATTTGTTGGTGTTTTTAATTGCTTTTTTGTACTGCTTGAACACTGAAGTGGCCCTCCAGTGAGATGATGGCCCACAGCACATTTAAGTTACGTTACATTACTCTAAATGAGTAATGTAATGGAATACGTTACAAACTACTTTTTGGGGCATGTATTCTGTAATGTGTAGTGGAAAACAACATTGGTCACAAGATATTAACTCTCAAGCTGCTCTCCGATGCATCCATTGGAGTGTGAATGTTAGACAGAAAGGTGAGAAACTTAAAACTTTACGTTTTTTCCAACATCAGGATAATTTCAGGAGATTTGTCTCAGATTTGACTGAATATTCTGTACATGAGGTTTTCATGTCTCATTTAGCTTTGAAATTAAAATCAATTCACAAAATACTTCAAAATAAGTGTGACTGTACAAAGAAAAATACATACCTCACAGTAAGTGCACTTGTAGAGTTTCTTTCTGGTGTGAATGTGTTGATGTTGTCTCAGGGAACGTGGCTCTTTAAAGGTCTTCTCACACAGGTCACATTTATGAGGTCTCTCCTCAGTGTGGCTAAACATGTGCTGCTGTAAATATTTGTATGCCACAAAGGTTTTGCCACACTGATCACAGAAGCAAAAATCCTTTTTGGTGTGAATGCGTCGGTGAATATTACGGCTGAGTGGCCATCGGAAGGTTTTTCCACAAATGTCGCAGCTGTACGCCTTAATTCCAGAGTGGGTAACTAGATGCCTTTGTAAGTACTTACTGCAAGCAAAAGCTTTACCACACTGATCACAACTGTATGCCTTAATTCCAGAGTGGGTAACTAGATGACTCTTTAAGCTTCTACTATGAGCAAAAGCTTTACCACACTGATCACAGCTGTATGGTTTAACTCCAGAGTGGGTAAATAGATGACTCTGTAAACTTCCATTGTCAGCAAAAGCTTTACCACACAACTCACAGCTGTACGCTTTCATTCCAGAGTGAATAACTTGATGACGTCGTAAGTGGCTTCTGTGATTAAAAGCTTTACCACAACGATCACAGATGTACGGTTTAAGTCCACTGTGGACGAATTGGTGTGTTTTTAAGTTGCCAGAACGGCTAAAATCCTTCCCACACTCCTCACAGGTGTATTTCTTTTCTCTTTTCTGTCTTTGAAGTTCATCAGCCTCCTGAGAGTCCTGACTTCTTGCTCCATGTTGGTCCTGAGGTGACAGAGATACAAACAGGCAGTGAGTAAAATGCAGTCGTGGAACAAACTGAACTTTCCAACTCCCTCCATTAGTTGAATCAAAGATGTTAACAAAAACATTGTAGGTGTGTTGGTGATAGTATCACATTATAATCAGATGCTACAATGAGAGTTGTACTTAAAATGCAGGGTTCATACGCCTTTTTTAGAGTAAAATTTAAACACTAATACTAATAATAATAATAATAATAATAATAATGGATTGCATTTATATAGCACTTTTCGGGGCTCTCAAAGCGCTTTACAATGCCACTATTCATTCACTCTCACATTCACACACTGGTGGAGGCAGCTACACTTGTAGCCACGGCTGCCCTGGGGCAGACTGACAGAAGCGAGGCTGCCATCACCTCTTTAAGCACTTTTAAGGTCCATTTTGAAGCCCTTTCAGCACAACACTAAACATAAAAATAACAATGTATGTTTCACGTCACATCAACCCTGGTAAGACCATGTGAAAATTAAAAGAAATCATCCTTGGTTGACTTAAACGCTTTTGTTCCCTTTTTGTTAAAACTTACAAAAACGCACCACACAAAAACACTGCAAAGGGAAAAGGTCGTCTTGTATGTATATAGTGTATGAACTCAGTTAAAAATGAAGATGTGCAAATGTGAACAAATCAACATGTTGAGATATTCATGTCACATTGAAAAAAACAAAAACACCCCAACCCCACAAAACAAGAAAACGGCACTGTGGTTGTCTTGTGAGGTGATATAAGTCAATAACCACATGTATGTGTATTGCATGCATGTAACCCCCACATACTGTACCAATTGGATTAGCCCACACAGGTACGGTGGCTCATAACAGACAAATGATGTAAAATGATAATTTAACCAAATGATCTACATCCTTTCCATTTAGCTTTCAGTCTTTCTAGACGTTATTTTTTTAAAGTGAATTTTAACCTAACAGTGTTTATGGTTGGACAAACCCCATACCTCAGTACAGCACCAATCATTAGAAATGCAAACACCCAGTCAACTTCATTTCTCAACATATTGACTTTAGACTGATTATACATACATGTGATGCCATTGTGTTTATCTTGGGTTAGGTCTGCAGATGTGACCTGCACATGTAATGTATGACGCCTGGTTTACAATCTCTTGGTCGGGTATTTGCACAGGCTTGGGAGATGATGCGCTCTGTGAGTCTTCATTTGAGCGTGTGTGGTGCTTGCAGTGCGAGTGTAGAACTATCCAGAATGGTTGGTGTCCTGGCACTCAGGGTCATAGTCATGGAGCTATGGCGGCGGCGGATCTGCCATTGGGAGGATGTGGCAGCGATTCCTCCTGTAGGTTCTTCTGTCGATCTGGATGATGTAGGATCGTGGCTCGTTGCTCTTCCTTCCTACAGTTCCTAGCTTGTCAGAGCCTTTTTCTGTCTGCATTCAGACCACTTGTCCTTCTTGCAATGGCTGTAGTGTGCAGCTGGACCTGTCCCATGACATTTTAGTGTGAGACTTTTGACACAAAGTCGGTCACTGATCTGCCCTGAGATCCTTTGTGACGAGCTCTAAAAGCTTGCTGCACACAGTAATCCCTGCGCGTGTCTGATGAGACATGAGACGTTTGTCAGGGGAGACTAGTGTTGCAGGGAATGTTTCTAAGGTTTAAGAAGTCAAGAAAAAGTCAGTCCAATTTCTCTGTGATTTCTCCATGAGTTGTTTCTCACTATGTACTGCTCTCTCAGCAAGACCATTTGACTGTGGAAACTCTGGTCGAATGAGTGAAGTCCAGTTGCTTCGCAAACTCGTTGAACTGCTGACTTGTGTACTGTCTGCCATTGTCAGTAATGAGCATGTGTGGTGCACCGCTGCTGTGGTTGAGTGACCGAGAAGGTTGATCTCAATCCATCTTGAACAGGAATCTACATGGACCTGGTATTGTTTTCCATGCCAGGTGAAAATTTCGGGAGGTCTGTAGAGGTTCTGTCTTCTGATGCGCATTAGTGCTGCTGCACACTGTGCAAGAGTGCAGCTCTTCCGTGATGTCTTTTGACATTGCCAGCCAAAAGATGAAACCTTTAGCTCTGCATTTAGTTGCTTCAATGCCTAGATGACCTTTGTGGACAATATTGGTGTATTCTTTGTGCAGGGATTGGGAAATCCTCCACGCTGAGCTCATCCCTGTATGGAAAAAAGGGGCTAGAGCGGGCTTGACTTGGCTGTCTCTGATGGGCTATCCTCGCTGGATGACTGTGCTGAGGGCTTGTAGCACATCACTCACTGTCATCACTTCATAATCAGTGTGTTCAACTCGGCTTTGTGACAACGGAGCGAGTGGAGCTCTAGAAAAGGGTGTCAGCAAGATACATGTGCTTTCCTTTTTTGTAGACTAGGCGGATGTCATAACTCTGTAGTCGGAGTAACATCCCCTGGAGCCAGGCAGGGGTGACATGGATGGGCTTTTTTCATTACGGTCACCAGGGGTTGGTGGACAATTGCTTTGACAATTGTCGCCTTTCCATAGACAGAATCTTTAAATTTTGTGCAGGCGAATACCATGGCTAAAAGCTCCTTCTCCATATCAGCATATGTCCATGGGAGCATGCGATGCAAAAAACTTGCATGTGTTACATACACATAGTCGAAAATTATTTTCTAGGACTCACGTAAACTTCCCCATTGTGAAAAGGTGCAAATCTTTGTTCCAGACATGGAGAGGTGCAAGGCAGATCAGGAGCAGAAATTTTGTTTCTAGACTTTGCGACTCATTTTATTTCTCTGTTAAGAAAAATATTCAATCAGATAGTTATTTGTGGTGAATGAAATGCAGTTCCAATTTCAACCCATTTTAAGCACCACATCTAAAGTTCAAGCACTTTTTACACCTTGAAAGGACTATTAAAATCCAAGGATTTTCAAGGCTTTCAAGCACCCCTACAAACTCTGAAAATTCTACTGTTGAAGAAATATTGATCACTGCAGAAACTCTTCAACTGCTTTTATTGTTATTTAAATGTTTGCTGTATTTTCTTGTAATTTCTGTGGCTTTTCTGTATGAATGTAGATTCTGTATGTATGGTTTTATGTTCAATATACTTAAAATTGTTAATCTTGTGGGTGTAATTAATATTTTTACATTTGATTTAATCAATTGTAAACCGTTTTAATGTTAAATAATAGTGATATTTCCAATTCATTGAACACATTTAATTAAATCCAAAGAGCCCTTTCCACATCCTTTATGAGCATGCGCAGAGAATGAAAAAAAATCTTCGCGCATACGCATTGACCTTCTTCATCTATGCCACAGTGTGCTTTGGCCACATGTCTGGAAAGAGGGATTAATCGCGATTCATCCGTTGGAGTTATGGTAATTTCTTCGTATTTTTAATAGAATATAATTTAACTAGTACTTTGTGATAATATATGGGGTATATTTTTCTGATAAAAATATAGGCTTTATATTTTCCGGTAAATATATGGGCCGTATGTGTTCTGTAGGTTTTAGCATTTTGCTAGCATTGGAAACATTTGTTTGCATATTCAACGTTACTGCACATCTGAATATTCCCCAATCTGTGTTTAAAATTTCATTAGAACTCCAAATAGCACATTTTGCCACAACTCAGTGACACAGTCGATTATTTTTTTCACTCAAACTTGGTATAAATACTGCAAATGTGGTGGTAGCCCGCATACCTCATATAAATATGACAGTGTGTAGTTTTTGTCATTAATATCTATTGAAATATTTTTGATTCCTTCTGAACAACACTCCTATGCAACTACACTTTTCTTCCTACTTTCGGGTGGTACACCACGCTAAAGCAGCGTATTCCACGACCCAATGTATCGGAATCAGTGTAACTGGACTCCCAATGGCAGAAAACTGCACACTGTCACTTAAAATATTGGAATAAAAGCTACTTTTCCCTTTAGTATATTTTGGAAAAGCAGACATTTGTGAAAGTAGGTGTCTGCTGTGCATCCAGTTAAAAACCATACATCTAGATTTTCAACTAGCAGGCTATGTTACATTACTGTGACAGCTAGTGCGCATGCGCCAACCAGCGTGCAGCCTGTTACAGTCGCTCCTGCTTTTCTCCTAGTTTAGCTCTTTTTTCTTACGTATTCTTTTTTTTTCTGACTTGTATTTTCCTCCATTTTCTATCTCTTACTCAATCATGTGGATTGAGAGAGTTTTTGTTCTTCTGGTGGCCGTGGAACTGTTACGTTTATCAAGGAACGGGACCGCGGCACATCTCCTACACTCACGGACTGTTTACTCCAGAGATCAGCTGATCGCCCTGATGCCGGCCGGCTCGCTGGCCAGGCCCGCAGAAGTACCAGCTGAAATTTGGAGGAAAACACATCGGGGATGCAGAGGTCAAGGACAGAAGAGAAGAAAAAAGGTGACGGTGAGACAGCGGAGGCTCGAAGCGAGGAGGAGGTTTAAACCGTGTCTGCCGTCTATCGTGATGGGAAATGTGCGATCGTTGGCAAGTAAAATCGACGAGCTCTCAGCACTGGTACGGAGTCAGAGGGAATACCGAGAGTGTAGCCTGATGTGTTTCACCGAATCATGGCTGCACCAGGTCATTCCCGATGAGAATGCTTCCGTGGAAGGCTTCCACACTGTTCGGGCGGACAGGGACAGCATCGCTAGCGGTAAGCGTAAAGGAGGTGGGCTTGCTGTTCTAGTTAACAACCGGTGGTGTAACCCTGCCAACATAACAATCAAAGAAAGGATTTGTTGCCCCGACACTGAACTGTGTGCTGTTGGACTCAGGCCGTATTATTTACCCAGGGAATTCTCTCACGTCATCTTGGTGGCTGTTTATGTTCCTCCCTCTGCTAACCCCACAGCTGCATGTGACACTATCCACTCTGCCATAGCTCGGCTACAGACTCAGCACCCGAGTGCCTTTATTGTGATCTCGGGTGACTTCAACCATGTATCACTGGACAATACACTAACAACATTCAAACAATATGTGGACTGTCCCACCAGGGGAGAGAAAACTTTAGACTTACTGTATGCTAACGTCAAGGATGCATACAGCTCCTCCTCCCTCCCCCCACTTGGTAGGTCAGATCATAACCTGATTCACCTCACCCCCCGCTATGTGCCAATTGTGAGGAGGGAACCTGTGACCACCAGGACTGTTAGGAGGTGGTCAGAGGAGGCAATAGCGGAACTACAGGGCTGTTTCGAGGTGACCGATTGGGAAACACTCTGTGAGCCTCACGCCGAGGACATCAATGGGCTTACTGAGTGTATCACAGACTACATAACTTTCTGCACCGACTCCATTGTTCCAGCTCAGACTGTTCATTGTTACCCAAATAACAAGCCGTGGGTGACTAAGGACATCAAAGCCCTCCTCAACAACAAGAAGAGGACTTTCAGAGGGGGCAACAAAGAGGAGGTGAGGAAGGTCCAGGTGTTACTAAAGGACAAGATCAGAGAGGCTAAGGACAATTACAGGAGGAAGCTGGAGTGGAAACTCCAGCAGAACAGCATGAGAGAGGTGTGGAGGGGCATGAAGACCATCACTGGATTCAGGCCAACCAACAGCAGGGGAGCTGAGGGAGGTGAGAATAGAGCCGACGAGTTGAATCTGTTTTTCAATAGATTCGACACCACAGTGTCTGCTCCCACCCCCACAACCTCACCTGCAGTCAGCCTGGAATCCAGAGCCACACCACTGTGCCAGCCTCTCTCTTCACATGTTGCCTCCTGTGAGATTCCTGACACCCCTCCCCCACCCATCACCTTCACTCAATACCAGGTTGAGATGCAAATGAGGAGACTTCACTCAGGCAAGTCTGCTGGACCAGACGGAGTGAGTCCCCTCGTCCTCAAGACCTGTGCCCCCCAGCTGTGTGGAGTCTTTCATAAACTGTTTATGCTGAGTCTGAGTCTGCAGAGGGTCCCGGTGATGTGGAAGACATCATGCCTCGTCCCTGTACCAAAGACGCCTCGTCCCAGTGGCCCCCAGGATTACAGGCCCGTGGCACTGACCTCCCACATCATGGCCAACTTGGTTATTTACTCCAAAGTCACATTTTATCTCAAGAGGGGTTGAGACTTCCTGTTTGCCCGGGGAATGTTCGCAAGAAAAATGTGCTCATAGGGTGTTTCGTTAGCGTTGTGTGGCCATACACCACAGATGGTAGGGGCACCCACAAGTGTCCATTTCTTAGTTTTGTTTTTGTCATTCGATACGTGTGCGGTCTGGAACTCTCTCGACCGTGTGAACCGGCCTT